GTCCTGATGGATTTTCTGACCTAGCGGTTGTGAGGTCGCATCAAATATATGTAGTTAATCTTGCATTTGATTCCGCGAATGGAACAGAAGAGAAAAATCATCAGCGAACACGTCCAGATCATCAAGCTTTTTTTGACAGGGGCATTGAATTCCATTCCTAGTGTTAGTAGTAATGGCTTCATAATCAAGTCTATTGCCCATGAAAATAGAAGATGCGAGAAAAGACATCTTTGTCGCACACCTGTTTTTCTTTCACATGTATCTGCTAGCCTTCCCCCATGAAGAGATCGACATTTCTTGTCTTTATACGTTGTCTTTACTAAGTTAATATTTTTCTGTGGGATTCCCTAGTGCCCCACTAATGCTGTCAAAAGCTCACCATGTATTGTATATAAAATGTAATCGCTGTGTTAGAACTAATTGTTTGAAAGAGTCGAAAGAAAATCGGCATTGGTTCTCAAATTTTTACCTTTAAAAGTGAAACTGGAAGTCGCTGTGGCGGAGCGGCTAAACGCTTGCCTGCGGATTGAAAGGTCGCGGATTCGCTCCCTAGTGGAGCCGGACTTTTTTATTTTTCAGGTCAACCCAGCCTTGAGTGGATACCGGATGCAGTCCCAGGAAGTAAAGGCGGCCGGCGTAATGCTGACCACATCACCCATCTTGTGCCGATTAGTCTATAAAATATAGGTCCACCCCTTTACGCCCTATACGCTTAAAAGCGTTGAAAAAGGTCTTTTACTTTGTTTTTTAAATATGAAATTAAGCAAAGTTCAGTTCAAAGTTGGTGCTCTCGGTGGTTTGTTTTCGTCACCGTTTTCCTCCTCTCTCTCTCTCTCTCTCTCTCTCTCTCTCTCTCTCTCTCTCTCTCTCTCTCTCTCTCTCTCTCTTGCCCAGTGTGTCTTCTCTGAAGTATGTTCTTTTATAGAATAGCTTTCTTTAAATCATAAAAATTTCTCTGTCACAAGCCAGAACATCGACAATTGCTCCTGTCCTCTTAAATACTTCTTAGTTTGATATTAACAGCCTCTTTACAGCCTCTTATCGACTGCTTCATTTTCCCCACATTCAAACAATTGTATTTTCTAGACTAGTGGGTTTCAAATGTTTTAACTCGCGGAAGGCTCTTTAGTGTCAATTCCTTCGCGGGGCTCGTTAGGTCTACAGTACACTTTGCCTTAATTTCGTTTGTAAGTAATCCTGCAAACCGGTGGAAGAAGGGTCCATGGCAAGGAATGTAATGTCAAGAGTTGTCTGAAGCAGCGGTTCTCAAATTGTTTTGAATAGCCCAGAACTTCGGGGCTTCTTTCGTGGCATATCTTTTTTAAACTGCTGTCTTCGCCTGATACACTCGGCAATACGATAAAGAAGCAAACGTGTTCTTTAGATCACAGAGAAGGCTTCGACCGGTATAACAGAGATGTGCTGTGGAAGAATTCTTGACGCATTATTAAGACACTTAGGAAGACCAAGGAAATTGTGGATTGACGGGGTCTCCGAAACCTGCCAAAAGCATGGCCTCAGAACATCAGATGCTGCCCGCCTTGCTTATGACAGGAACTTGCATCTCCCCACAACGCTTAGCGGCATACGTGGAAGGAAAAAGTAAAGTAAAGTAAGTCTTCGCTGATGTCAAAAATTCTTGATTATTGTCGCGAGAACCCTGGCATACGCTCGAGGCACCCCTGGGGTCACGGCACCCGTTTGAGAACCGCTGGTAAAACCGCTGGGAATAAAAAGAGAGTTGCTAGGTGAAATAAAGAAGATGCAAGTAAAATATTTTGGTCACATTAAAAGACATAACAGTATTGTAAAGATGATCCTAGAGGGAAAGGTTCAAGGTAGGCGAGCAATAGGCAGACAGCGTTACAAGTGGGAGGATAACATCAAGAGATGGACGAAAAGCAGTATGAGCGAGTGTACATCAAGGGCAAGAGACAGAGCTTGTTGGAGATCCATTGTAGACAACCTTTATTGTGGAGACGGCACCTGATTGATTGATTGATTGATAAAACAACTGAGCAATGACCATGCAACATATATATATATATATATATATATATATATATATATATATATATATATATATATATATAAGATTTTGAAACTGACCCTAAATTAAAAGTCAGTTTATCCTGAGCTACCACGAATACAAATGATATTGTCATGCTTAGATACATATAAAAGATCTTTCAAAGTACATTAAACCAAGCCATTTGCATTACGGTACCTCGTTTTTCTAGTGAGTTTAACCTGGGTGGGTTCTTTTGCTTTTTTTCTGCCTCGCTGCCTTTAATTGTGCCGTTTTGCCTGTTGCCACAATTCCTCTACCCCTCCCCAACCCTCGTTTTGTCTGCATCTGTGTCTGCCTGCCTGCCTCCAGTTATATCCTATTGCCTATATATATATTTATACACACACACACACATACACACACACTTATGTTTGTGTGTGTTTGTATATGTGTATATATATATATATATATATATATATATACACACACACATACACATACACAAACACACTAATGTTTGTGTGTGTGTGTGTGTGTGTGTGTGTGTGTGTGTGTATTTGCGTATTACAATAACAATATGTCCCAAGAAAGTGCCGTATGAAAATGATTAGAATTATTTGGCTAGTTTTCATTTCTCTAAACTCTTAACTGGCACATAGAATGGCGTGCAGACAGCACATACAGACAGCAATCCTTCCTGAAAGAGGACGTGGGCTGTGAATTAGAAAGGTTTGATTCTAAGGAGATTAGGGAGTGTGAACATTGAACATTTAAGACATAAGTCTTCAATCCTGTTGAGCGCGAGGTAAATTTGATGTCTGCTGTGTCACATATGTTTAAGCGCTGAGCTGTGTGCAGTGCCAAATGTTAGAACAGTCGTAATAGAAAGGTGGGGGGTTGGGGGGGGGGGGGGTGGGATTATAGACAAGAATACATTTTTCTCAGTGCTAGCTTTGTAAGGGGCGTGTGACGCGCTGATTTGTGGTTTACAGTTAGACTGTGACATCTGCCACGTTCTGCATAACGCTTAGGGAGAACTACGTTATGTTCACTATATAAACTCCATCGAGTACCAGTTAGTCAATACAGATAGAAGAGTTAGTATATAAACTTATGGGAGGTCGTCAATAAACTATAGGAGTTAGTTTATACAAACATGGGAGGTAATATGTAAAAATATGGCAGTTAGTCTATAGAAATATGGAAGATAGTTTACACAGATATGGGAGTTAGCATATAAAGGCATTGGATTTAAACTATAAAAGCATGCAATTGAGCTTATAAAAATATGAGTTAGCCTATCAAACAGTTTTAGATAATACATAAAAAAAAAAGGTTAAAGGAAGGAGGGGGGGGGCGCAGGGTAAAAAAAAAGGGGTTTAGGTGGAAGGGGGGTTAATCTATAATTTCTGACATGACCAAAACATGTAGATTCTATTCTTTTCTTGGAAATCACCATCAGTTTTGTCTTTCCATTATTCAAACTGAGGTTCATTTTATCACTTGCTACCATCAGCATAACGCAGGCTATTTATGTTATGAAAACCAAAAAACACAACCCGATATATCCAATATTAGGAAGAAGATCTCCACAGGGGAGCATGTACAGCAGAAGTCCACCGATCATCAGTAGAAGATCCATCGTCGACAAATGTTTCAGTCCATCAACTCCTAGACAATTTCAGAGGCTGGCCGACTCTTGTCAATAGCCCCAGGCCTCGATCTTCTCCCGCTGCACTTTACCAGATCCATGTTAGATGTCATTATATATTTATTGTACAATGCGCGCGAGCACACACACACACACACACACACACACACACACAGACACACTTCAGATGTAATACGCATCCTTGACCTACCACCCTCTTTATGCTCTGAAATGTTCCCAAATAGTTATTAATTCTCATAGCTGCTGTTTGCTGCAAATACATTTTCTTTATCATTCTTAAATCTTTTTCATCAATGTTTAACTGTTCCAATAGTTTGATTATGTCTTTATATTTCACACAATCAAATGCTTTCGTATAGTCAATGAAGCATAAGTACAGCTGGTTTTTACGTCTCCTTCCAAAAAGTCCTGATGATGTATATGGCATTGCTTGTACCTTTTTCTTCTATAAATCCACACTGCTCTTTACTACTTTATTGTTTCATCTTACTTCTAATTGCTCTCATAGTTATTCTTAGTGACATTTTTTGTCACATGACAATGGTACGATAGTCTTCAAATTTTAAAGTGTCTGGTTTCTTTGGCAGAGCAAAGATATAAAATTAAGTACGTCATTGAGAAGGTACCCATTATTACAAATCTCATTTAACAATGTTGCTATTATTTCAGCTCTAAAATATCCCATTATATATTAATTAAACAATTTGTTTTTGCTGCTTGAATTTACCACTTAGGGCGGTGTAGCATGTGAAAGAAAGGGAAAAAAAGGGGAGGGCGGGGGTGGGGGGTGAGGAAGGTTAGTGTAAGGACCTAAGGCCGCATAGCTAGTGTTGTGATCATGAAATGTGCAGATTATATTAGGTTTGTTTTTTTGTCTCCCTCCTCCACGGGGGAAAAAAAAAAGAAACTTATATATTTCTTACAGACAATTGAACCCAGGTCTCCCGCATGAGCCCATATCATTAACCACTAGACCAAACCCGGTGCTTTCCTAATACCCCCCCCCCCCCCCCCCAAATGATGTCATAGGACAGTCTAATATTATCAAGGATGGGAAGAGTGGGATTCCCGGCTTTCTGAAGCCTTTAACGACCCTAAAACACTTAGAACTGGGCCAAATCTCAAACCACCTACGTCAAACGAGAGAGTGCAGCCTAGGTCCCACGACTGCATGCAGCCTAGGCCCCACAACTGCTTGCAGCCTATCTACCACACCCTAAAGTATTCAACTGTCTGTTTAGGGAAAGGGGGTTGGGGGGTTGGGGGAGCATTGGGATAGAACCCCAGACCATCCTCCCTAGCTGTAATCTTCTTAAAATGAATCAGTCTGTTTTTTCTGCTGCCGGCAGGATTGATGTCAGCTGGTTCCACAAACATGGCGTCTGCCAGATGATAGTCTTCATCACCTATGTCTGCGGCTTCCTGTCCGTTTGGATGGTCGTCATGGTGACACTGGAAAACTACATTCGGATTTGCCATCCCCACCAGGTGCACACCTGGTGCACGCCAGGGAAAGCCCGGGTAGTTTTGCTGGTGCTAGGATTAACGGCCGTGTTTTGCTACAACTTTCCTCTGTGGACAACATACAGCGACACGACACAAAACAAGAGTATATGCTCTCTAAATCCAGGTGAGTCAGCACGATTGTGTCTCTCATTTTCCATACGTAAAAATTTTCATTGTTATTATTATTGGTGATAGAAGAAAGTTGGTCTCCTTCTTCTTAGCGACACTACACAAAACCAGAGTATATGTTCTCTAAATCTAAGTCGGTCAGCAACGATTTTGTCTCTTATTTTTCATACGTATACTTTATTATTATTATTATTGTTATTATTATTATTATTTTTATTATTATTATTATTATTATTATTATTATTATTATTATTATTATTATTATTATTATTATTAGTGATACAGGGAAGTTGGTCTCCGTCTTCTTAGCGACACTGTACAAAACAAGAGTATATGTTCTCTAAATCCAGGTAAGTCAGCACGATTGTGTCTCTTATTTTTCATACCTATAATTTCTTCTTCCTAATTTTGGTGATATATGGAGGTTGATCTCCTTCTTTATAGCGACACTACACAAAAACACAAAGTAAGTAAATCTCTTTCTTCTTAGGGTTTAGCAGCTGTAAACTCTGGTGGAACTTTCTGTTTGTTCATCCACCATTCGACTCTGGTTTTGTTCTGGAACTTGAGTTTTTCGGGCACATCCGTTTTACAGATCTGGCTTTCTATGCAGAATGTTGACTTCTCGTCTATCCGATGGGCGCAGTCTTACTCTGAAGGAAACGCCCTTAACAAGTCGCCTTTTACGACATGTTTATAAAGAAGTAGTGAGTCAGACTCCCCATCCCAACCTTTTCGCATTAAAAAAAAACACACACACACACATACACACACACAAACCGAACTTTGACACTCATACACATGGAGAGATGCTCATGACGGGAAAAAGAAGATGATGTCAGATTGTCCTGTCTGGGATGCTACCTAAATGGTTGATTACTCTCGAGACTTCAAGAGCCTCATCCTGCCTGGCAGACCAACAGGGCGAGTCCCAGATACCCTGTTCAACTTTTTAAAAAGTTGTAAATCTCTTGTAACCTTCAGTCCTGATTGCTGAATGCTGCATCAAGAATTGATATCACATCACTAGGAATAGACCCATAAACGCTCCGTCCCTATCTTTAGCAGCAAGCGCAGCGTTCCGGATTTCTCTGGCATCAGTAGCACTCTGACTGCATTTCCGTTTCACCTTTCCCTTGAGTTTTGAGCGTCAGGGAGATCCCCTTCATTTACTTCTGTGCGTGAGAAGCATTAAAGAAGGCAGAAGGCAGTCCCAGCTCTATATAGACATAACCTGTGACGAGCGTTTAGATTTAAATGATGTAGGTATTGAACGCGCTTTGTAATGTCGGAGTGCCGGGTTCGATCCCTACTGCAGACGATTCGTCTTGGGCTTGTTTCGACAATGCTACTGAAAGCTGACGGTTAGGGCAGCAATGGAAAACTACTGAACGTAAAATGTGCCTAAAAAACCCACAACAGGCAACAACAACAGCAGCAAAAATAAAAAATGGTGGGTTTAGTTCTGCAACGTCCTGTAAAGGATACGCAACTATGTTTATGTAGCAACCTCATATAGACTAAAGATATTCAGGTAGATGTTTTAAGAGGTATGAGGTTTAACACGATCATGAACAAAAATTCGAGTCAGAAAAGAAGGATGGATGGGAGGCGGAGGGGAAGGAGAGGAATGATATAAGGAGAAAGCAAAAAATAAGGAGGAAGACAGATAATACTATTTGCAGTAATTCTGATAATAACAGTAATAATTACAGTACTGATAATAGAAGAAGAAGAATACAATGACACTGATTAGGTAATCATTTAATACAGTGTTTCCCAGTCTTAGTCGCGGCGCCTTTTTAAAATTAAAATTTTTCCACGGCGCCCTAACCTAAGTAAAAGTATGACTCTTTGAATATTTCGCAGGGCGCCGCGGCGCACAGTTTAGGAATCACTGATTTAATTTCTTTCCAACATCACAGCAAAACGGCCACCTCATCGTTGACCCGTTCCTGAGCCAAAGAAAGAAACACAGAACGCTTGTCAATGCCCCTTGTGGACTCATTATTACAGAATGCAAACTTGGCTTAAGTAACAGCATACACATGCATTAAAAGCTCAAGGCAGTCTTCAGAAGTGCCAACACAAACAGTCCGGCACTGGAAAAGTAGCTCATCATCCATGGAAGCAGCAGCTAGAACAAATCAATAGTTGTACCCCTCAGTTAATGGTACAGTCGAGTCTGGATAAGCAGAAGTCGCAGGGACCTAAGAAAATGCTTACACTTATCAGGATGTCTACTTAACCGGACAGCACACACAATAGAGAAAATTGCTGGGACTAAGCTTGCCATATCGACTTAACCAAAATTCGACTTATTTGAGTTTTTTATGTCTCTGCAGTTCATAATACTCTCTCTCTCTTTCTCTCTCTCTCTCTCTCTCTCTCTCTCTCTCTCTCTCTCTCTCTCTCTCTCTTGTTGTATCCCATCAGGAAACCACACAAGTGATAAACACCCGGTGACACAAAGTGCCACCATGCGGATGAGAATCACTCATGGAGAGATCCCATAACACTTTTCGGTCGTTAGGCCATATGTATGGCATGGCGATATTCAGGGCAAAAGCCAGGGTGGGCCTTCAAATAATAAAAAATTGCATTCAACAAGGGGACTACTTGTACTAGTTCACAAAACAAACTAGAGTGGGCATGGTCGAAAAACACCTCACATGGAATCCGCAACTTAAAGTGTGCATTCAGCTCAGTAGCGATGTAACTACAATTTTAATGTAAATATTGGAAAGGGAGAGAGAACAACGGCTAAGCACAGTCAGAAGCAAATAACCTGTTATAATAAAACAGTTAGGTTGTCCATCCCTCATATTGGACCGGAGGATGATGATAACACTAATGATAATTATTTCGACGTTGAACAAGAAAAGAAAAGATGAAAACGAATAATAATTATAAGGAGATCACAAATATCCCGATGCAATCGGATTATCCAACGAGGTGGAAAAAGAATTCTTCAGGATTAGGCGATCGTCAATCCATTAGCGTTATGAGTCAACACATTAGACTGAATGCACACTTTGAAAAACAGAAAACATACTGGGCTGTACGGAAGGCACTTGTCTACCTTGTTTCCAGTTAGGAAGGAATAGAATATGAAAAGAAGACCCAGGTAGCGAAATATCTAGAAGATAAACTTCCGACCACTTGATCATTGATAATATTGTTCTGCGAAGTAATGGTATGACAATCGACTTTACTGTACAGTGAGCAGTCCAATACATTGTCAGTCCTCCGATTCAACAGTCATCCGTGGGTACCTCTACTAACTGATCCCACGAGAAGTTGCTTATAAGTCTCTTATCTTGACCTTGAAAATGTCACCGACCTGCTTCACCAGGCTTCACTCATACGTCATGCAATCATGTTAACCTCGAAGATTCGTTACTAATTGCCTGTCAAGCCGGTATAGCGTTGATGATATATGCTCTGCCATGCATCTTGCCACATGCAGTGGTGCAATACTTAAAAACTGCTTCGCTTGTTCTTTGCTTTTTTACTTCGATACGCCCGGTGTGTAGATCTACGTGGCGGTGGTTAAGTGTGACTTCCGAATGAAGCCTACCTATTAAGAACCCAGACTGCCTGTTTTGATTTTCTTAAACATGTTCAGAAAGTCTTATTTGACCACTGATTGTGTGGCTGCTTGTTTTGCTGCCCATGCGAGTGATCTGGAAGCAACAGCTTTTTTATGGTCATACTAGACGTAGTTGCATTGTAAGTGCAAATATCCTCCTTGCCATTTTCCAAATCTTTTGTGCTGTCCGTTGCCTTGCTGACCTTGAACCGCATTTCACGGCCCTATCTGTGTAGATGGTGATATCTGCTGGGCGGTAACGTTGATTTATCAGTGTCTTTTTCTTAATGTCTACTGCAGTCAGAGTCTCCTTTCGGCCATACCTTCCCGGTGTGATGACAACCTTAGAGTATGTGCACGTCGACCAGTCCATCCGTCCCTTTTTCTTAGTTTCTGAGCTTATCCGTATTGCACGCCTGGTGGGTCTACTGTGTAGGAACTGCAATGACATGAAGAAAGACAAAACATATGATTTCATAAAATGTAAATTTAGATTCCAGCAGGGATGTACACATACATACATTATTAGATATTCGTAATATCGGATTAAATATTAATTCTGACAAGGCAAAGTTATCTTCTTAGGTTCTGCATTGCCTTTCTGTTGCTCTATGTTCACAACTTTCTCTCAACTTGGCTATATGGTGCGGCTGGTATCAAAACAATCTAGGTGTTTCTAGATATTTTTGTCATCGCTAAACTGTGTTACACATTGCTTTTTAATAAATGGAATAATTTGAGACAGTTGGAGGGGGATTATCTTCAAAAGAATGGATTCAGACCACGAAAGACAAGTTTATGATTTTAAAAATATGGAACGTTGTGACACTCGAGCCCACAATAGCACATAAATAAAAGGAGACCAAAAAAGAACACACAGATTGAAAAGGCAGCTAGAGAGTGAAGTTAAAAAAATGGGAAGGACATGGGGAGAGCTTCATGTGAAAGCGAATCATTAAGATAGCTGCTCCATGCAACCAGAGATCGTGAACTGTGGAGTTGCATGAGCGCCTACGCCAACTGGCAAGCCACATGAAGATGATGATGATGATGACGAGTCCATAAAATTCGGCCCTGGTAAATGTCCACAGCGTACTGTATAGTGCTCATTATTCAACTCTTTAGAACAGTACACAATCAACCTCGCAGCCACATGCACACAGTAATTTATTTGTCGAATCGGTTGTTTGAACATGTGAATTAGCACACGAGGCAACAGATTACCCCTAGTAAGACTATCCCAAACACAAAATATGACGCAAAACGTTTTGCCAATAAAATTACCAGCTGAAGCCAAACTGTACGGGTCGCTGAGTGAATTACCACAGACACTGAAGTTCATACTAGAGACAACAATGTAGAGATAGATAATCTATTTCAAGGAAACGAAAGAAGAATTATAC